CTATACAGATATGGAGATTTTTCACCCAATACAGCAATAGAATTAAACATTTGTCATTCAAATATTTCCTGTTTCTCTGCGTTCTTAATTCCAGTAAAGTTAAGTGGCCAAAGACTAATTATCATGAGAGTTTATCACATATCTGGGGGTTCTTTATTTGCTTTGTCCAATATTTCACAAAGGTAAATATTTTGCTGATAGGCCTCTTTGTTACTTATCTTGCATTTGTTTCAAATTGAAAATAAACAAGCCACTTTCTCTGATGTTAGTAGAATCTCAGTTTTTTTACAGATTCTCTTTGTGTACAACAGGGAAGAAAAGGAAGTGTTTGTTGTTAGAAGGGAAAAATTGATAAAAATTCAGATAAAACAAACAAAAAGGATATTAGAGCTTTTACACCCCAAAATAAAAGTATTGAAAATATTTCCTTCTACAGATATTAATAAGCCCAAGTATATGTTAAAGGAGACAAACTATAATATTTATTCTTATTTACAGCTTTTATTTCTTTAATATATACTCTCATTTCATGTTCAGATTTCTTTCTTTTCAAATTATTTAACCCAAATTGAATAATTTTGTGGGAATAAAATTTAGTCAATTACTTCTTAATCAGTTTGTATTTAAGTTGATGTTAAAACACTGATCATTTTTAGATCATTTAAGTTGATGTTAGTATTTCATAATCAAGTGTTTTGTAACATTGTAGGAAATATAGTAATTATTAGACCAGGATATAGTAATTTAACAGTGAGACATTCAAGAGTCAAACTGAGTGTCAATTTTTTACCAGCACTTGAAAAATGTTCAGAGATACTTAGATTTTTTAACACTTAAATTGAAACCTATTCATAGCAATTTATTTTAGCTATCAATATTAACAAACTCCTATTTAAATTATTAATTGTATATTCATCATGCAAAACAGGTCTGGAGTCAAAAATAACATTAGCTATAAACTAGATAGTTTAATCAAGATAATTTAAAAACATCTCAATAGTTTAGATCCATTAAATTTTATATGTATATATGATTAACATAATTAAGAAATTAGTAAGCTCATTTGGAGGAGAAAGATCACAATTTTAAATTTTTTACTTTCTGCTGAAAACATATCGGCCTGAATAGTTTCCATTTCCATTTTTCTGCAAAAGCTTCTAGTAATGTAGTTATCAATGCAATAATAAATGTTAAAAAAGTTGGATGAAAGCCAAATTCATCAAATACTCCTCCAAAAGAACTTCCCATAGTCCATCCCAGATGACAGTGTCTTGAACATCTTTAACTTTTCCATCAGAACCATTTAACATTACTACGCTTCTGCGCAGCTGGAACATCACTACCATTGTCAGTACCAGGCAAACAAATTTATGATGATGTTCCTGGGAATATGAAACTAATGCAAAGGGGATTTCTCTGTAGTTCTTCATTAACATTTTATTCATTACAACAAGGGAGTTTTAAGAGTTTCCTTTTAAGCAAATTAGGTCACTGGATAAAAAACACACAGCATGGAAACACAGTGTACTACTACCTAGAACAAAAGATGTGGTTAATAAATTATGATAATGGGATTAGTAGTTTGCTAATGTTGAAGAGCACATTTAAATATTTTGGAATTAACTTATAGAGGGAATATTTTTTCATGTATTTATATTGTCTTTGCCTTTTTCATGTTTTTTTTTTAACACTTTTTCTCTGAATGTGTGTAGAAACTCTTTAGATTGTTTGAATCATTTAAGATGAGAATCTTTTTACATAGGCAGAAGCTAACCGTTTTCATTTTAACTAAGAACAAATGGTTAAGAAAGGAAATCAAGATACCGAACCTAGGAGACTACATTCTTCGTAAAAGTTATTTTCATTTTTCGCATACATATTAAAAGATTTGATAAAGATGTTTTTAATATGCCAATTCCCTGTATATCTCCCCTGATCCAGATGTACATTATTTTTTCATCATATTTGGAAGTACTTTGAAATGTTGAACATCTTAGGTGAAAACATTAACATTAACATTTTTTCTTTCAAATTGTTTTTCACTTGTTCCAAAATGTTCTGTTTACTACAGACCTGTTTTAATATTTAATAAGTAGGTTAAATAGAGGCTTAAGAGAAAATAGAGGACACTCTGTGCTAATTCACATAAGGTACTCTGTTAGATTGTGATCTCTAGAAGTAACCCTGAGATACAGGTTAAGGAGTATCTAGTATACTCAGGGCAAAGGAAGTGGATAGAGCGATGCAAGGGCTGAAACAGGTAGGCACTCTCTTCACATGTGAATTGCACATCACAATTTCATCTCCAGGCAAGGAGACCCTGTGTTTTCACCCTTTGTCCATCAGTTATCACATGCAAGTTGAAGGATGTGATATCTAAGCTCTCATGAGGAACTATTCTTGTTCAGCCTGAGGGCAAATTTGAAGAGACAGGGCTGGGGCAAGGTTGCCATTAACAGACAACACTCAACAGCTGGGGCACGGTATACTGGTTACCTAGGGACTTGAATAGGACACCAACAATGCACTACACCTACCCCTGAATTATTAAAACAAATATCGGGTGGCATTATTGTTATGCAATGACTTGTAATTTATCAAATATTTCATTCATTATGTTATTAAATACTGATAAAACACTACAAATATAGCATAGTATAGATATCATATTTAATAGATAACTATGTTGTAATTCAAAGATAATTCACTCGTCTCATTTTAGGAAACATTATATTTGAAATATGATTCAATGATATGTCACTGTTATTAATGTTTATTATTTTTGGCACAGTGATGTATTTCATTGATTTTTAAGGATGAAAAAATTGTTACACTATGAATTCAAAGAACTTGCCCAATGTTGCAGATGCAATAAATAAAACTAAAGTTTATATGCAGTTATTATGAAAGCATTATGTTGTCTCAATATTTTAAATCATTATTTTATACTTATATATATTAGAAATCACATATTTCAGAAAGGAAATTTAAAACATATACTTTGAATATATATGCCCTTTTAGTAAGATAGTCATTATTACATAACAAAATGCTAGTTATGCAAAGCAAAAGATGTTTATGGTACAAAGAGATCAGAAGGAATGCTTATATTACTCAGTCTAACAGCATAAAGACAATCAGGAGAGTCTCTCACAAGAGTAATTCTAGAAAAATAAGCATTGGCTAAGCAATGTTGAAGGATGAAGGAAAAGAAGGCATTCCTAGTGCCTTATATTGTGCCTGATGCTTGGAATAATTTTTTTTTAAAGATTTATTTATTTATTTATTTATTTATACAAGCACTGGGTACAGTCAGAAGCAAGGGAGGATGAGAGAATTCACCAGAGCCAGAGCGGGGAGCAGAGCAGGCAGAAGGACCGAAGTACACTGCTGAGGGGAGCAGCGGGCGGCAGGAGAGGTCTGCGCACAAAGTGGGACCCTCCTCCAGTGGCCGGGGAGCAGCCGGGGATCGAACCGGCGCTGCAAGAGGCTGCGGGCAGCTTCTCAACCCAGCGCTCAACCGCTGCGCCACTGGGGAGGCCCATGCTTGGAATATTTTTAACATCTAATCCTGTATTGAATGAATCAGTAATTTTAGGTAAGCAGGAAGCACAACCAAAACCCAAATGTTAAATAACATGAAATACAGAGTGATGGGGGTTGGGGGGGAAGTGAAGCAAAAGGTTATGGTGAAAATAAAGAGGTAGGCAGGGGTCAGGACATGATGAGTTTTGACATGACATGAAAATATTAAGGAGTTTCTCCATATTTTGAAGTAATGGAGAAACATTTCTCAAAGAGCACTTAGCATTCTGCACTACATAGGTCCATCTGGTGACTTTTTGGAGATTAAGCAAAAGGACAATATGACAGAAATCAAGGCTATCAGCGAGATGATGATACTACAATTTCAGGACAAATGACCTGGTACAGAACTGGGACTGTAGGACTTGAGTTTAAAAATGAGTAGATATAGTTGATAAATATTTGGAATCCAAATGAATTTAACACAGCTACAACTGTCATTGATGGTTCCACACTATTAATTTAGGTGACTACCTGAGTCTTTGGTAAGCTGTCATCTATACATCTGTGAATTTTGATTTAGAGGGTACAACAATGCATGTCAATAATTAATATGGTGGGAAGCACAGAGTGGGAGGAGTCAAGCATGATGACTTAAGGTTGTGAGTTGCGTGCTTAAATGCATAATGGTCACCATTTGAATGAAATGAATAAATGAAAGGATAGAAGGATGATAATTCCAGATTTGAATTTCACAGCCATTAAATACTTTGAGAAATATCTGTGAAAGCATAAATACCTGAAAAACATTTTGTGGGTATGCAAATTTGGTTTAAGTACTGAATAACTGTAAAATAATTTTTAAATATTAAAAAAATGAACAATTCCTTAATGTCTGTTTCTCTGCACAAGGAATAGAATGTATATAGCCCAACGCTACACATCACACAAAAGTTGTCAGCATTAATCATAGCTCTGTCCCAATTTACCCAACAAGATCTTCCAAACTCAGTCCAAGGTTTTAGGAAACTACTGCCAATCATTTAAAATAGAAATATGATTTGAAAGTGGTTTGGTATTCCTGGTCTTTGGTATTCCCGGTCTGCACCAATTTTATGACATCAAAGGAAAACAATTTTATAATCCTCTTTGTCTTAAAGAAATGTAATAATGCATATAGTTTTGATTTCTAAGACAGAGATGAAAATGCACACATGCACACACACATTTCTCCCACTATTCAAATTAGAATGTTCCTGTGAAACCTCTCAGAAGCTGAAATGTTGTAAATAAAGTAATTAAATTAAATTATATAGAAACAATTTTGAGCATTCCCAGAACCAAGAATTAATCTATCAAATCTTTACCCAATAACACATGAATCCTAATATCCAAAAGGAAATGTTATGATAAATCATAACCCCAAATAGCCATATAAAATATAGATAATAAATGTGTAGCATAGGGTCACTTACCTGAATCATGAAAATAGTACACTGGAAGGCTGTCATTGGAATCTAGTGTGATGAAGATACAGGATATTGGGGTATATCCTGTAGGAGAGAAAGAAAGATTGTCATTTATTAATATCTCACCACTCTCTGAATCTATAAGGCAGGTAGATTACTACCATCTACATTTTCTTCTATGTCTACCTGCCCCAGTGTTGAAGTTCTAGATTCGTGGCTAATGTGGAGTTTTTCTATCAAAAAGTTCTTTGTAGGTATTCAAAACATGCTACAAACATTCACTAAAACTAAGTGCCCTTTCAAAATTAAAGTTTTACTTTTCTTACAATCATTGTAGCATGATAAACCCTAGTCAACAGCTCCCGAAACTCTCAGGCACAAATTGTCCAAGTTCAGTTCCCAGATAGCTTCATATTTCAAATCATTTGCTATTAGTTCAGTTTTAATTCACGTATTTTCTCTTGCAAGAGAACTGTCAATTCATGGTCATTGAATGCCAAAAACATTTTAACATCATCTTCATCGATGTACACAAATGCAACTCTCTTAGTCAAAGTCACTATTGCCATTTTATTGATTGTGGTAAGTCCTAAACATCTACAATTGTCCAATGTTTCAGGACAGAGTATCCTCTAAACATTATTTTTCATCAAAACTTTGAGCACAATGGAGTATGGTGGAGAACTATGGGTATTTTGGTGGTGGGTGTGGGATGGTAACAACACCCGAAGATGGAGATTCTGCACCACTGCCAACAGCATTGCTAACCAAATGTCATCTCAATAAACAAACAAACCAACAAAATAAATCCTGTTAGCCTATCAAGAGCATCTCCAAGGTGGCAACTGTCAATTTTACATAGTCGACTTTCCAGACCTCTTATAAAGATGCTTCCAATTTGACCTCTCTGTCAACACACATTAAATGCATCATGTTTTGTGTATATATTAAGATTTAATAATGGCTGTTATGCCTTGATCATGCTGTTGCAGCAACAATGTTGTCTGTATAATGGGTGGGCTCAAAATTTTTTTTACATAAATTATGGTAATGCTGTCCCAAATCCCAAAAATAACGTACTAAATCTTATTAGATTGGATCATTCCACTTTAGCATTTTCAGGGAAAATCTAATGTACTAATGTTGGTCTTTCATAAAAGTGAAGAGGTACAATGCCAACTTTCAAATAAGGCACTTGTTTGTGTACAAATAGCATATTCGCCAGCTCACACACACAAACAGGGAAATTGTGTGTGAGTGTATGCACAATATGTGTGTCATAATATTCATGCTTAGAATACTCCAGTACAGAATCACTTCATAATGAAAGCACAGACCTTGTATGACAAATAAGACAGAAATGAATTTGGCAACCATTCAAGAATAATAATTCTATTGGGATTATGTATTTTTTCAAGAATTTTCTACTTCCCCCCACTTCCCCTGCTGTCTTCCCTGACCCCAACCATTTCAAACACATTGAAAACAGCCACTCATATGGTGAATCCACACAAAATCATGCAAGCATACAAAACAGATAATAGGGCCACAGGCCCCATCAATTATACTCTCCCTGTCTCTTAAATAAATTGACCTCACTTTCAGGTGAACTGACTTTTGTGAAAAAAATCCCTTGCACACAGTCTATTCTTGACAACTAGAGCAAATAAAATTTAGAATATTACTAAGATAACAAAAGCTAACACAGCTTTCTGTAATCTCAATTTTCTACTTTCATGTAAATGTGCTTTTCATCTTAATTGTCTGGATTGACACAGCCAAAGACAAAGAACCTAACAGGCCAGGCTCCTATCAGTTTATTAGAAAATGGACTTTATTGTCCAGCACAAAAAAAGATTTGTTGAAGGGAAAGACTGGAACAAAAGTTCCCAACACAGTAAGATAAAGTCACATCCAAAAAAAGTTACACAGTCTTATCATAAACAGAATGAGCCACATAATAGAAATACAGAAACATATTACTTGGAGGAGCTGAATATCAAAGAGTAAGCACTTGCCCTTTTCATATAATACCTCCTTCCTTTTTCACACATTAGATTTAAATTTTAGCCTAGTTATTTCCTCCACTTTTCTATTTGTTGTTTAAAAAATAAGTGTTCCATACTAAGTTTAATTAACTTAATCCTCAGTTAAATTATAGTTTTATAAATTATACATAATATTTACTAAAGAAAACACTTTCCTTTGGTGATTCACACAATTTCAGAGATATAATACAAAAACTGATTCAGGTATTAGAAAAAATAAACCTCAAATACTAGTTTCAGTCTGAATGTCTAACCTTATAAACTTTATGCAAAGTTTCTTTCAAAAGACAAAAACCAGGCCTCCCCTGGTGGTGCAGGTGGTTGAGCGCCGCATTGTGAGGGCGCTCACAGAGGCACCACAGCCTCTGCGGTGCAGGTCCGATCCTGGCCTATGGGCGAGGGTCCCACATGGCAAGGCAGACCTCTCCTGTCTTGCCTGCCGCTCCCCTCAGCAGTGTATTTCGTCAGTCTGCCTGTTCTGTTCCCCGCTGTCTCTGGTGAATCCTCTCACCCTCCCTTGCATCTGGCCTGTACCCCGATTCCTGTATAAATAAATAAATAAATCTTTTAAAAAAGGGTAAAACCTATACATAACACTGAGTATTAGGAATTTTAGTATTCATTGTGGGGATAGAATTTGCCTTCCATTTTTATTTAAAGTTTAAAAAATTTCATCAACATACACTGTCCCAGGTAGAGAGGGAAATTATTCTCGTCAATAAATTAAAATCCACTGGAAAACTGAATTTAGGGACCAGATGTTATACATTCTTTCCCTTACTTTCTGCCTCCCCTTCCAATTTTTTCCTCATTCTCCCAACCTTAATTCTCTTTGTCTCTAAGCAGCGTAACTCTGAGCGAGGACTTTCCATATGCTGGGCTATAATAGATACACCAGAAAATTAAGAGATTCTTCTCTTTCTTTCAGGAAATATATAGACCTAGCTCTGACTGGGACTTGTGTCCAAACCTGAATACACTTCATCCAGCTTTCAATGGCCAGGGACTAGGCAATTAGAGGTTTCTTATAGCTTAAATGAGTGCTATGATGAAAAAAAAAATATATATAATATATATATGACTAGATATGTATATATATGATATGTATATATGTATGTATGTATATATACACACATATATGTGTATGTGTGTGTGTGTGTATATATATATATATACACACACATATATTTATATATATATATAGGGCCACGTCATAGAGGAATATGGCTAAGGACAGGCTAAGGATTTGGGAGAGTGTGAATTCCTTCCTGCTTCATAAGACAGACAGGCTTGACCAAAATTTTTCCTCAGAGAAGTTAATCTTCAGTAGTAGTCCAGTGGGTTGAAACTGAAATCACTACATGACACGTATCAACTAAGTGATATTAAGTTAAAAATAAGTGGACCCTAATCCCTCCTCCTCTCCCCCCTCCCCATAGTGTGTCTCTGGTTTAATAGTTGCTTATTGATTTGATTTTTACTTTATTATAATTAGTCTTTTTCCTGGTCCCTTACTTAGGGTTTCTATATTCCTGCTATGGGGAATATAACCATGATGAAATGGATACATTGTGCCAAAATGAAAAATGATGTAAAAAAACATATAAAATAAAATAAAAATAAAAATTAAATTAAATTAAGTAAAATAAAATAAATGGAGAATATTGGACTGTCATTATAATTTATTGTGAGAAATGCAGTAATGGTAGACATTTCCAGTAACAAAAGAATAATGGATGTGGTTAAAAACTATGAAAAGAAGAGGCTAAAAGTGATCAAAATTGTTAAATCTGGTAACTAGGAAAACAGTCCAAAATAGGAAAATATAACTAATGTTGACTTGAAGATGTAAAATATGATATTAAATTTTTAGAACAAAATTGAAATTCCAACCAGATAAACTTTCTAGGACCAGATTTTGATGTCTGTTTTCCAACTTGGCTTTTAAATTTACTAATCATAAAATCTCAAATTATAAAACATATACATACATCTTGTCATCTGACAGAATTACCTATAGTAATAATAAAAGTTGAAGTAATATAAGGTAGAACACAATGTAGAGGGAATCTATTCAGAAAAAATGATGATAATAAAACTGCTAAGAAGTCAGGCACTGCACTAGTCAACAATATGAAATAATATATTTAATAGTAGAAATATGACAATGAGGCAAACCTATTCCAGTGTCATTTTAAAGACTAAGAAATGCGTAGAGAGTAGTAATTATACACATTCACACAGTTAAGTGTCAGGATCCAAATCAAAAATCAGAGTGACTCTAGACTCTAAACTCTGCAACAATACCAGGACAAGTATTGAGGAATGATTATATTTATGGGCTACAACATGAAAATATTCAGGAAAGGATAGAGGCAAAGATGTTCAGAGTGAGATCTGGAAGAAAGTCCCTTCCTAGAAGTTAGGATTTCTAGAAATATATGGTGATCATATGAAAACAAAAGTGAAATAATATTCACTGAATCAATTATCTTACTATATGTCTCATAGCATGTAGTGTATTTTTTTCTTGGAAAAGTACTTCTGACAAACTAAATAATTAAAGATGAACAATGTTATATAACCCAACTATCGCCCAATAACACTAGCTCTAAAATATTGAGTACTAAGTCTATAAAAGTTACCTGTATTATTGACACACATATACAAAAATCAGTTTTCCTGTAATTAAAATGTTTTTTAAAACCCTTGTTTTCAGCACCATCTGTGTTTATTCATTCAATAGGCTTCCCCTCTGTGTTTTATATAATCATTAGTAATGGAAATAAACAGCAGAGAAAATAAAAATTCTATCCAAGATCAATAAAACAATGGTGTAAGAAGAAAATCTGGAGTACATTGGCCCTCAAACCTACTTCCCAGAAACTTATTCTCCTCAGCAAACTCAGAAAAATAAAGTAGAATATATATTGACACTAGTACACAATATGAGCATTCTAATATTTCATCAACACAGTGTGCTAAAGCCAAAAACCATCTTTAAAACAGAATTAAAACTCTACATATTGTGGCCAC